ATGAGGACAACAGTCCAAACAATATAAATAGTGTAAATAGTTACAATACCTCATCTGAGAAATAGAGACAGATGTTGAAGGTGAATATGGCAATAAAGATGAGGGACAACAGTCCAAACAATATAAATAGTGTAAATAGTTACAATACCTCATCTGAGAAATAGAGACAGATGTTGAAGGTGAATATGGCAATAAAGATGAGGACAACAGTCCAAACAATGTAAATAGTGTAAATAGTTACAATACCTCATCTGAGAAATAGAGACAGATGTTGAAGGTGAATATGGCAATAAAGATGAGGACAACAGTCAAACAATGTAAATAGTGTAAATAGTTACAATACCTCATCTGAGAAATAGAGACAGATGTTGAAGGTGAATATGGCAATAAAGATGAAGATAACAGTCCAAACAATGTAAATAGTGTAAATAGTTACAATACCTCATCTGAGAAATAGAAACAAGATGTTGAAGGTGAATATGGCAATAAAGATGAGGGACAACAAGTCTGAACAATGTAAATAGTGTAAATAGTTACAATACCTCATCTGAAAATAGAGACAGATGTTAAAGGTGAATATGGCAATAAAGATGAGGACAACAGTCTGAACAATGTAAATAGTGTAAATAGTTACAATTCCTCATCCCAGAAATATAGACATACTTGTAAGTGTACAGAATAATTTTGGATCGAAATTTTTTTGTGGATATCGACGTTTCTTTCTACGCTGATACCAGCGGCGCAATCCGTGTATACTTATTTTAAGAACCGGTACTGTAAGTAATTTTGGCCATTTCTCTGCGTCTACTTGGTTTCAGGTTTTCCATTCAGCTGCAGTGGAATAACTACATTGAATCAATAGCTACATCGACCGCGACTTGAATTAGTTCTATATGTCGCGTCAAAATTTTTTTTCTCATATGAGTCCATCTTTCAAATCTACAAGTCATTCACCCTTGCATAGAATACTGTTGCCATATATGGCCTACTTCCACCGCTGTTCATCTCGAGGTTCTCGACAAAATCCAAAGAGGAATATTCAATGTGATGGGACCTCAGCTGGCATCACGACTCCAGCCACGTTCTTACAGTTGTGATGTGGCTTCCCTCTGCCTTTTCTACAAATATGTTCATGGCAACTGCACTGACGAGCTATTTTCACTGGTGCTCTGACTGCATGAATTTAAGCATGCTACTAGGTTGGCATCTCGGTCACACCCTTTTACTGTCGAAACAGTTAAATGTAATCGCCCCATCTACTCAAACAGCTTCTTCCCTCGCACTTCCCAACAGTGGAATTCCCTTCCTCTTACTCGCTTCAATGATAAGTATAATCTTCAAAAATTTAAATGTAATGTCAATTGACATTTTCTGATGCCTTGATCCTGATCCCCTCCCATCTCTTGATCCTTTCCTCAAACACCCTTCTTTACTCTTACTTTCATTCTCTGCACCCCCTTGCGTGTTAGTGGCACTCCCGACTTGCATGAGGGAAGTGCTTAAAATAAAATTGGGGTTGCGGTAGTAGAAGCACTGAGAACTATCAAACCTTTCTCAAATAAGAGAGAAATGCTTACGCATTAACTAATTCTTTTTATATCATGATCTATATTTAAACAAGTCAAATGGGTCCCAAAATAAAGGTAATGCTGTCATATCTGGCGGGCATTGTTAAATCCTCACTTTCTAGCATCAACATTATTCAAAATACTCTATGCGGCTTTGTGGGAGTTTTATTGTCTTTTACCCTACAACCACTTTCCCCTGAGACGAAATGTCGCAGATCTATTGAGTTCTATCGCTATTACTATATCAAATGTTCAGGTGAGTTCCATCAGTTCAGACATTTAATTCAAAGACACATCACAGGGCTGAATCGTCTTCATTCCCTTCATATTCCATTTTTTTAAGGAGGAAGTTGTATTCAAGAATGCTTGAACTTGAGAACTTTTCATAACAGACACCCGACATGATACTTCCCCAAATGCTACAATCTTAAATTTTTCAAGTTTCAAGTCAGCCGTTATCCATCTGATATATATGTTCGCATAATCTGCACTTACCCTCTCCATACAATGACTACATTCATAAGCTCTCTAGCAAAAGTGGCTCTTGGGCCTTTTATGGGGCGAACATTTAGTAAAATGAAAAAAACTAACCCAGCCATTTTAGAGCATTACATCGTCTTAATTTAAGTGTGTAGAACATGATCACGTTCGTAGGGGAATCATATGTAATGCATCCATAACAAGGGTTGTGTATCTTGAATAAGAGACCCGACGGAGCCCATTCATCCTCGTGCGGTTTAGAATTCTGAGTTCTTCTTCTACTAGAATTTTGCCAACCAAGAATAACAGACTCAGAGTTTGCTGCTATTTAACCATAACTTAGCCATAACAAGATTACATTTAAATATTAGTTTTATCAATTCATTTTAAATTTTAAATATCAATTTGATAAAATTGATATTGAAAATATTTTATTACAATGTACCCATTTTTCTTTCGTTCTTTTTTTTATTTTCTTTCATTTATATACAAATGTCTCCGTCTTTCTTTCTTTCTTTCTTTTTTCATTTTTCCTTTTTTTGTTTCTTTTATTCTTTCTTTCATTCATTTTTATACAAATATCTCCTTCTTTCATTCTTTCTTTCTTTCTTTCATTTTTATACAAATGTCTCCGTCTTTCTTTCTCAGAAATATAGACAGATACGGAAAGGTCGAAACGTGATAAATATGGCGACAAAGATGAGGACAATAATCCGAATAATGTAAATAGTGTACATAATACCTCATCTCAGAAATATAGACAGATATTGAAAGGCTGAAAAGTTGTAATAAATACGGCGACAAAGATGAGGACAATAGTCCGAACAATGTAAATAGTGTACATAATAACTTATCACAGAAATATTGACAGATACAGAAAGGCCGAAACGTTGTAATAAATATGGCGACAAAGATGAGGACAATAGTCCGAATAAGGTAAATAATGTAAAAAATACCAGCAATACATTAAAAAATAATTACCAGCAACACATTTTTTAAAAAATAAATAAAAAAATATTATCAGCAACAGCTCTCAAAAGCGTTACAAAAATGCATCAATGAAACCTGGTTTTTTATAAACTGATTTCTTAGAAGGAATACATATTCTGTTCTTATGAACGTATCCGAAAATAGTGTCGACATTAAATAACCCATTGAGGTGTAGATATGCCGTAAAACAAAATAAACCAAACAAAACAGATGTAGAAAAAAGAAAATGATAGTTGGATGGAAGATTCTGTAAATCTGTTACATTTAGGCCATTAACTTTTTCGTCGCCTGTCCATTATTCATTGTGTTGACAATATCTTCAACAATTTAAAGAAGTCGAAAGATCTCCTCGAAGGATTTCACCGAATCGAAATTGGAATCATTCTTTTACTATTTTCTTTTTTAATCAATTCACCGCAAGCAAGGCGATAATTCCACTAAGATTCAAGCGGCTGCTGGGAGTGAAAGTGAATGAAAAGATTTTAGAAAGGAACCGGAAAACGAATTTTAAACAGGATGCAAGTGATAAACCTTCTGTTTAAAAGACCATGGAGGAGTGTGAACCTGACGATAGTCAAACCTATCTCCTCCAATTTAGAAAAAAAAAGAAGGAGATAAATAAATATAGAATGAAAAATTCATTTGAAGGGTGGCGTAACATTATAGAAAATAAAGGGAAATTCTTTGATTACCAAATAATGGTGTTATGGAATTAGATGAAAGATTTGGTCTAAAATGCTAGAACTGTCAGGAATTTTGGGTTCTGCTGACTTTGCGCTTTCTCCTTAACTAAAGAGGTCAAGGGTTCAAACAATTGTGCGAATGGACAAAACAATTTCTTGCTTCTTTTTTTTTTATTCATATTTTGTTATAATTGTTTTGTTGTCATTTGAATCATTTTCATTTCTTTTCTTATTTCCTGTGAAACAGACGACTTTCCATTACTTTTTCTTTTTTTTTCTATTTCACTTCATTTTTTCTTATCTTTTAGTTGTTTTCTTTATTTTCCCTTTCTTTCTTTCTTTCTTTCTTTCTTTCACTTCTATAATTTGTTTGCTTACCTCTTATCCAAAATTTCTTTCTTCCTTTTCACTTCACTCTTACCAATCCAGTCGTTCTTTCTTTCTTTCTTTCTTTCTTTCTTTCTTTCTTTCTTTCTTTCTTTCTTTTCCTACATCATTCTTTCTTTAATTCATTCATTCCGCCCTTGTTTGTTTGTTTGCCCATGCTTTACGAAAAAAGGGTTAGGGAAACAGAATATGGAAAAGAAAAGAAAAGAAAAGAAAAGAAAAGAAAGAAAGAAAGAAAGACGAAGACATTGGTATAAAAAAGAAAGAAAGAAAGATGGGTATATTTTAAGAAAAATGAAAGAAAGAAAAATGGGGAGAAAGAAAGAAAGAAAGAAGGGAACATTGGAAGAAAAACGAAAGAAAAAACATTGGAAAAGAACGAAAAGAAGGAAGCAAAGAAGGGGGATAAGAAAGAAGGAAGGGTGGTCGGAAGGAAGGCAGAAAGGAAGGGAGGAAGGAAGGGAGGAAGGAAGGGAGGAAGGAAGGGAGAAATGAAGGGAGGAAGGAAGGGAGGAAGGAAGGAAGGCAGAAAGGAAGGGAGGAAGGAAGGCAGAAAGGAAGGGAGGAAGGAAGGCAGAAAGGAAGGGAGGAAGGAAGGGAGGAAGGAGGGAGGAGGAAGGAAGGAAGGAAGGAAGGAAGGAAGGATTGAAGGGAGGAAGGAAGGAAGGAAGGGAGGAAAGAAGGAAGGGAGGAAGGAAGGGAGGAAGGAAGGAAGGAAGGAAGGAAGGGAGGAAGGAAGGAAGGAAGGAAGGGAGAAAGGAAGGAAGGGAGAAAGGAAGGAAGGAAGGGAGGAAGGAAGGAAGGAAGTGATAAATTAAAGCAGTTCCGTCCTTCTTTTCTCCCATTATTTCCTGTCCTTATATATTAACTTTCTTTATTCCGTTCTTTTCCAATGATTCTTTCTTTCTTTCTTTCTTTCTTTCCTTTTCTTTCTTTCTTTCAATCTTCTCACCTTTCTTTCATTCTTTCTTTCTTTCTTTCTTTCTTTCTTTCTTTCTTTCATTCATTCTTTTTTCTTTCCTTTTCTTTCAATCTTCTCATCTTTCTTTCTTTCTTTTTTCTTTCTTTCTTTCATTCTTCTCATCTTTTTTCCTTCTTTCTTTCTTTCTTTTGCAGTGTTTATTGTTTTCCTTTCTTTTTTATACTTCCAAATGCTCTTTCTTTCTTTCTTTGATCAGTAATTCGTTCATTTTTCTCTCATACTTTTCTTGCCTCAATTCCTGTTCAATTCAATTCCCTCCTCCCCCACCCCGGAATCTATTCCTTATAATCATCCCTCTCTTCCAGCCCTATCCAGCCCTCTCCCTCCTTCTCTCTCTCGACTTGCCCCTCCAAATATCTCTCCTCCTATTCCTCATACCCTTCCATTTATATCCCTCGTCCTCTCTCTCTCTTTCCTTTTTCGCAAAATCATCTGAACTCCTCCGGTGTCATACATCCATAATCTATAGCGATAACAAAAGAGGTATGCACCGTTTCTTTTCAGCTCGGCTCTTTTCATCGACTTCCCCGGAAAATATTCGGGATTCTTTCGCTTTTGTTGCCATCAATATTTCTATTCTAATGCAAACATTCCCCATTTGCCTTTGTCTATCGCCGATGGCGCTTCCAGGTCAATGAAAAACCCGAAGGCACACGAAGAACTCACAGAGATCCAACTAAATCTTATCCTTTTTGGTTATTGATAACCGCTATCCACAAACAAGGAACTTGCAATCAATAGCAAAGAATAAATCCGCCTTCAGATGTTTGTTGAATGTTCAAGTGGAAACGACTGTAGCTTGTCGTGAAATAAGAAACAAAAGATGAGAAAACCAGTAAAGTTGGAACTGCAACTATGAGTCTGCGAGATTAGCTCATTAACCACAACTTTACTTCTTTATCTTTTATGTGTCATTTACTTTCGGCAGGTGGGTGATCCTGGCTCTTCGCTAGATCTTGTATTTTACTGATTAAATAAGTTCGGAGATTTTACCAACCCTTTCACACGACTTAAAACGAATGGTTAAGAAGAAAACCAATATTAAAAGAGCTATAATAGATACTGGCCATGATAAGCATATTTCCCTAAAAAAAACTGTTTTAATAGTAAGATTTTATTAAATAGAATTTAATATTGTTGAAGTTATAACTAACATTTTTGTAACATTTTTTTAAACTCTACGTTTCGTTCAATTTCGTGAGCAATTGTTGAATTTTGATTAAGCTCATTTGGTTGGAAAATAAAGGGTGTTCCAATAAGTTGGACCGATTTTAAATGTGAATTAAATTTAAGCATCTAATGATTTTTCTTTTTACTTTCAGATTTGGTAGATATTTGGGCGATATTATTTTAACACATAATTGCCATGATTAAATTTTCACCAACAACACTGATTTATTTACTGCTGACTTTGATCCGTCTTAATGAAACACCCTTATATATAATCTATCTTAATGAAACACAACTTACTTTGGCAAATACCCTACTTTAACGATGTAATAGTTTCTTTAATTAATTTAATTTTATATGACTTCATCATAAAAATATTTAAAAAAATATTTTTCTATATTAATAGCGAAGAATAATATCTTAGGATTTCTTACTCTTGAGCATGCAATATACAACTGACCATGTGTAAATATTTCTTTCTGGAGTCTAATTCCAACTTTTTAAAGCGTTTGGACTTCAAGATTTGTTTATAGTTCTCGCAAACGCAGGGCAAACTGGAAATTTTATTCTTGTATATATAAAATTTTAAAGAAAAGATATGCCAAAATAATATGGCATTTTATTAACTAAGTATTTGTTATTTTAATCATTAAATTATTTTAAAAATAAAAGCTGTACGTCAAATATTAAAACTTTTTTTATAAACCAAAAGATTAATTAAAATTTATTTTACTACGAGCCCTAGTGGGTGCAAAATAGAATTAGTTTTACACTGATTCTATTTTGTACCTAATTATTTACTTACACACCTCCGCAAAATTTGGCTTCGATTGTTCAATGTATGGCTATTTTAGAGGGGTTTACGAACGGACAGACGAACTAACGGAAGTCACAGAATTTTATATATAGATGTCAACCAAATATAGCACTTCTGCTTGGTCAATGAATGCCGGATGTTTCCTTTTAAAGAAAATGCTATTAAAATTAGAGATAATTAGAGGAGATGCTAAAATGGTTATTTACTCCTTCCACACACAGTGATGGGAAATGACACAAGGCTGGTATGAAGTGTGGAGACGAAGCGTGTGCACCTGGGTTAAGGACAAACATTACCCGGTCCCTTCAACCGCTGTCGGGCTGGAATCGATATCCCACCGAGCTTCCCTCTTTTGTGCAATGGGGGAGGTGCTGCGGCAGGGTTGGAATCCTCTGGACAAAACATCTTTCGTTATTTGTTGTGTCCTCTCCGAAGACAGCAACGCTGTTGTAGTTTCTCTACCAGAATGCGGCTAGTACACTTGTTATTTACTTGCCGCTCCAGGGTGGTAAGATGTGGCAGAAGATCAGTTAAATATGGGGATTCAGTGCCATACCCCAAACCTGATTCAAAAATAGCCGGGCGCCCGCAATTTTCCATTTCCATTCTTTCTTTGTTTTCTTTCGTTTCCAATGTTTCGTCACTTTTCCTTTCTTCTTTTCGTCGCTCTTTTCCGATAAACGAAGTTAAGCAACCTCAGACCTGGTTAGTGCCTAGAGGGGTAACCGCTAGGGAATACGGCGTGTGCAGCCAGTTTGTATATACAAGTGGTTTAATGGATAAGATCTAGGGATTGAAGATCGGAGAGCAGAGTTCAAATTCCAGTTGGGTTAGTGATATTCAGTTACGCGCAAATACCCTTGGGAAAGGTATGGGATCACCTCTTCTCCCTAACGTATGGGTTGAATAGCCAGTCTTGTATCAGTAAATCATTGTTGTCCTCCAAAAGTTTTAAAATGAAAAAAAAAATCTGGCTTTAAATAACCATTAAACGTTTGATAATCCGTAAAAAAAATCGAATCAATCAATCTTTCATTCCTTTCTTCCTTGTTGAATGTTTTTCGATTTAACTTTTATTTCTGTTTCTTTCTTCTCCAATGTAATTATATTTTCCGTTTTTCTTTCTTTTTTTCTTTCTTTTTTTTCTTTCTTTTTCTTTCTTTTTTTCTTTCTTTTTTCTTTCTTTCTTTTGGGGCTTTAATGTTTTTTCCATTTTGCTTTTCTCTTTCTTTTCTCCTTCTTTCTTTGTATGTATAATGTTTTTTCTATATTCCTTTTCTTTTTCTCTCTTTTTTCTTTCTTTCTTTCTTTCTTTCTTTCTTAGTGACATTAATGTTTTTTTCCTATTTCCCATTTCTCTTTCTTTCCTTCATTCTTTCTTAGTAATTTTAATCTTTTTTCTACATCCCTTTTCTCTTTCTTTCTTTCTTTCTTTCAGTTTTTCTTTGTACCCTTCTTTCTTTCTTTGTGCTTTTAATGTTTTTTGTATACCACTTTTCTCTTTCTTTCTGTCCTATTTCTTTCATTCTTTTTTAGTGACTTTAATGTATTTCTCTATCCGTTTTCTCTTTCTTTCACTCTTTGTTTTTTCTTTCCTTCATTCTTTCCTTCTTTCTTAGTGACGTCAAAGCTTGTTAACCATTTCGTTTTCTCTTTCTTTCCTTCCGTTTTCTTTCATTCTTTTTAGTGACTTTAATGTTCTTCTATATCCGCTTTTTTCTTTCACACTTTCTTTCATTTTATTTTTCCTTCTTTCTTGGTTTCTTTCTTAGTGATTTTATGTTTTTTCTCTTTCTTTCTTTCTTTTTTCTTTCTTTTTTTCATTCTTTCTTTTCTTCTTTCTTAGTGATTTTAATGTTTTTCTATATCCCTTTTCTCTTTCTTTCTTTCGTTCTTTCTTTCATTATTTTTAGTGACTTTAATCTTTTTTCATTTCCCTTTTCTCTTTCTGTCTTTCATTCTTTCTTTATTGCTATGTTTCATGACTCAATTCCTGTTTCACTCTATACCTTCAATACTTATAGTCATTCTTCTCCATAACTCTCTCTCTCTCTCTCTCTCTCTCTCTGCGCCACCCCACACACATTCATTCGTCTTTCTTTCTCTTCCTGATTGTCAAGCTATGTAGGGATGCAGATGGGAATTGTCTTCTTTTGAAAATAGAAACTGTCTGTTGTCTTATGGGGCCCTTGAGAATCACAATACTGCCCGTTGGTGAGAATATTCAGTTGCGACTTAGTTCATCACGGACACTGATTCGAGATTTAGTTTCAGTTTCGCTGACCGCAAATGACAGTAGCAATTCCCATGCGTATTGAATTGAATCATGAGATATACAACAGGCTGTACCATATCACCTTTGAGGACATTAAGAGAAAGACCTTATTTTCGTCCTCCCTTTCACATATCAAATCATTTTTTTATCTTTTTCATTTGTCTTATATATATTTATGTATTGCATATTTTAAGTAAATTGCCGCCATTTTACATATGTAATTTCGCGCATGCGCGTTGTTTGTGTCTGTTTTTTTTTTTTTTTTTCGACTACCCGGTATAGTAGGGTTATTTGGGACGGTCTGAGAGAAAAAGAACACCATGATGCAATTCACTCTGCCAGAAATTTGCAAGTGAAATGCTGTACTGCTTGGCATTCGCACCGGAAGCTCTAATACGAATATCTTAGAATGTTTGGTTGTCAAACCGAAGACAGTGCAGAGGATTCGGAAAGAGTTGGATGAGTCTAATGGTGATTACGAAGCCACGGAAGTTCGGAAAACTCATTCTGTTTAATTTATGATAAGAAAAAGACACCGATTGTTTCTAAGGGACTCAGACACAACACGGTAGACTACATTAAGTGCCTTGAGGAGGTAGTGCTGCCCTGGGTCAAGACGGTGGCAGCGGGTAGACGCTATATTTGGTAACATGATTCTGCACCATGCCTCACAAACAGGAGAAGACAGTCATGGCTGTCAAGACAATTTCTGCGAACACATCAACCATTACATCCGGTCGTCGCCTAACTCCGCAGACTGCAATACCACTCATTATTATATGTGGGGCGAAGTTGAACGAGAGTCCAACAAAACTCCTTGTAACACCAAAGATGAACTGTAGGCAAAGTTTATGCCAGCATTCACCAATATCTGTCTATATTTCTGAGATGAGGTATTATGCACACTATTTACATTATTCGAACTATTGTCCTCATATTTGTCGCCATATTTATTACAACATTTCGGCCTTTCAGTATCTGTCTATATTTCTGAGTTGAGGTATTATGTACACAATTTACATTATTCGGATTATTGTCCTCATCTTTGTCGGCATATTTATTACAACATTTCGGCCTTTCAGTATCTGTTTATTTGCTGAGATTACGTATTATGTACACTATTTACATTATTCGGACTATTGTCCTCATCTTTGTCGCCATATTTATTACAACATTTCGGCCTTTCAGTATCTGTCTATATTTCTAAGATAAGGTATTATGTGCAATATTTACATTATTAGGACTATTGTCCTCATCTTTGTTGCCATATTTATTACAACGTTTCGGCCCTTCAGTATCTGTCTATATTTCTGAGATGAGGTATTATGTACACTATTTACATTATTCGAACTATTGTCCTCATCTTTGTCGCCATATTTATTACAACATTTCGTCCTTTCAGTATCTGTCTATATTTCTGAGATGAGGTATTATGTACACTATTTACATTATTCGGACAATTGTCCTCATATTTGTCGCCATATTTATTACAACGTTTCAGCCTTTCAGTATCTGTTTATTTGCTGAGATTACGTATTATGTACACTATTTACATTATTCGGACTATTGTCCTCACCTTTGTTGCCATATTTATTACATTCCTTGGGGGCACATGTCACAGTGGATAAAGGCATTGGTTAGATCCATTGACAGAAACCAAAGAGTGTGAGTTCAATACCCGGTTAAGGCAGTGGAGAACTTTAAGAAGGGAATTAACAGGAGATAACTGACATCCATTAGCCATGGTACGTGGAACTAGAACAGTCTACCCCAGTGAGCGAAATAAAGGTGTTCAGTTCACATTCCAACCACCTGAAGAAGGTCGGAGCATACAACAGTCGAAACGTTGTAATAACTATGGCGACAATGATTAGGACAATAGTCCGAATAATGTAAATAGTGAGCATTCACCAAATTAAACAAGGCGATGTCATGAAGAGTTGGAAGAGATTCTGAAGTCATCTGCGAGCTTTGGTTGAAGCCAATGTCGATATTATGGAATAAATTTAGTGTTTCAAGATATTTCTGTGTAATTTTGGTAAATATATCTGTTAAAATGTAATATCAATGATATTTTCATTTTGGCGACATTTAGACGACAAATTATACATCGCACCTTTTATATTCGTGTTATTTCAGAGTTGTGTAGAAAATTTTTTTTTGTATATTTTATTTTTAGCGTTGCCATTATTTTGAGGTAATTCTTGTCTTTCCTTCCTTTCTTTTTTGCTAACTCGATACAAGGCCCAAATGCCACTCAAGGCAGAGTGTTAGTGATTGAGACCGTAGAGGAGGAGAGAAAAGAAAAGGTGTTCATCATACATTCTATGTGTCTCAAATTTTTCTCCATCCTGTATTTTATTCTCTCTTTTATTATTCGTATTTCGTTTCTTTCTCTTTCATTATATTTGTTTTATCTTTTTATTGCCTTTCTTTCTTTTTTCTTTACTTCATTCCGTTTTTTTCTGATTCGTTTTCATGCCGTTCTTTCTTCAAATATTTTATTCTTGTTTCTCTTTTCTTTTTCCGTTTATTTTTCACATATTTAAATTGATTTTCTCATTCGTTTACCTAGTTCTTCAGTCTACATATTTTTCATTCTCTTTTTTCTTTCGTTGCCCCTTTCTTTAACTAGTCTTCATTTATTTTTTCATTCGTTTTCCCTGTTCTTCATTCTTCATATCTTTCATTTTCTTTTCTCTTTCGTTGGCCCAGGCTTTCGCTATTCTTCATTTATTTTCCTTCATTTTCCCTGTTCTTCATTCTTCATATATTTCATTTTCTTTTCTCTTTCGTTAGCCCAGTCTTTGACTAGTCTTCATTTATTTTTTCATTCGTTTTCCCTGTTCTTCATCCTTCATATCTTTCATTTTCTTTTCTCTTTCGTTAGCCCAGTCTTTGACTATTATTCCTTTATTTTTTTCCTTTGTTTTCCCTGTTCTTCTTTCTTCATATTCTTCAATTTCATTTCTCTTTCATCTGCCCACTTTTTGACAATTCTTCATTTATTTTTTCCTTCATTTTCCCCCGTTCTGTTTTCTTCATATTTTTCATTCTCCTTTTCTCTTTCGTTCTCCGTGTCTTTTCTTATGGCTCTCGTGTCTTTATTGAATTCTTCCGCCTTCTTCAGGCGTTCTAATTGAGCTGATCCTGAAAATTAACCCATTTTATCGACTACGTCCATTCCTTCTTTAAATTTTCTTTTTCTCTCTTTCTTCCGTTTTTCGCATTTTGCCATTCTTCATTCTGTATTTTCTGGATGTATCCGCTAACATTTCTTCGAGCATTGCAATCAATTTTGGTTTTTCTAAGCCGAGATTCTGTTCTTCTAAAATAGACCCGACCAAAACCATCAACGGATTACTGATACAAATTAAAAGTTCTCTGGATTTGACGCTATATAGGCATTTAATAACCTTAACTTAATCTAACACCTTGTGTTGAATATCCTGTGCCTTTCCAATTCGCTAGATACGTGTAAGGCATTGCTACACTTCTAGATCGCTAAAATTTTAACCCTTGGCGAAACACTACCATTGAAAACTTGATGTTTGGTTTGGTTTGTTTTTCGACATATCAACCTCAATGGGTTATTTAATGCCGACGAGGTTTTTATTGTTGCTAATATTTTTTTCAAAATGTATGTCTGGTAATATTTTTCCAGAAAGTGTATTCCTGGTAATATTTTTTTCAGAAATGTATTGCTGGTATTAATACCTATTTTTTTTTTTTTTTTTTTTGGAGTAACTATTTGCCCATAGTTGGGATCTTGATAGGTTTTACCACCTCGAGCCAGGGTAGACCTGGGAACACCAGCAATTAAGCTGTGGTTCCACACTCTTCAAACCCTCCCGATCAGAGACCTTGCTGTTTGATGTAATCTGTCGTCTTACCTAAGACGCGGATGTATTTTATTATCGTACCCAGAACAAACACTTGCGCTCTTTTAATGTTAAATTTCAACGTTCTCTATGTAAAAAAAAAAAAGTCAAAATAAAAGTCCCCAGGGATGTAAGCTCATTGGAACAGAACCAGATCCTTCTCACTCCTGGGATAACCACTCCTTGGAGGAACCACTCCTCGATTGACCTAATATGAAGCCGTATTTAATTCGCTTGGCCATTTTGCTAGTTCGTGAGATTATTTAACTCATAGTTGGAGGTTTTTGAATTCTGAGTCCTGAGATCGTTTGGCAGGCAATTCAGTAAGACAGAGTTTGTTTTGCTGTTTATCCATGGCTACAGGTAGGCGTAGGGTGTTATATGGACCCATGTTAGACATTTTGACGGTCGTCTTCGAGTATAGAATCCAGAGGTTAGCAGTGAATATTTCGGAGACAGTAGGAAAGCCTAGTTCAGGTTAGCAGTGGATATCGCAGCAAAGTAGCACAGCGTAGTACTTCCTTCTGTCATCTTCGCCTGACAAGTTGGCACTGGTCATTCGGGTAGGGTAAACAAAAATGGCCGCCTTTATACACGACGGATACAATGTTCTGCGGCTTCTGATTGGTTAACCTTCTATTGGTAGAATATAAAGGGAGTTAAGTCATTTTGACTGGCTCACTAGTTATATAACATATACACAAAAAACTGTAACAACCCATACCATTTTCAAGGTTTTATTTCATGTAAGTAAATGTAGCCCACCCGACTAGAACTGGGGCTCGGTCCCTCAGCCGCTATCCCTAATTCAACCGTCCCCCACCCCCGTATGTTTAAAATCAAAATAATAATAAAAAAACAATTAAGTCTATGACTCTTGATTGGAGATACATATGTTATACAGAACTATGGAATCCAATTCTTTTAATCATTTCGACTCAGGCAAGGTGATAAAGTCACTAAAACGCAAGGTGTTGCTGAGAGTGAAAGAAAGTGAGGAAAAGCTACTAACTATGTGGACAGGATTCAAAGAAAAAAAAGAGGATGACTGATGTTGTACTGGATTTGGAAGATGGTAGTTGACAGTAAAGAAGGTAACGGGAACTGCGTTCTAAAGGTGAGATGTTTAACGGGGGGCGGTATTGGAAGAGAATCCCGAGTTAAAACTCACAATATCATAATTAAAATGATGAGACCTGGATGTCGGTCTAGTAATACGTTTGAATTCTTGTAGCTGCAGTTTCAAAGGCGAAAGCTTATCATAAAAATTACCCTGAAAATATTTATAGAAAAGACAGAAGGGAGTTACGGTTGGTTAAAGCTGAGATGTTAGATCAGGACCGACAATATTGCAGATTCTCCTTTAGTTTTTGTTAAGAATCTCTAGATGTTTAGCAGAAGCAACAAACAAGAGGTAGCAAAAAAAAAAATAAATAAATAAATAAAATGCGGACGAAGGCGGGTGGGGGTTGCATATAAATGTACAATTGCCTTTTTAATCTCACCTTATGAATTTATACGAACCGAAGGTCGTGTATAAGGTACGTGTCCCAATTGTATATGAAATGAGGGACAGAAATTGCTTAAGCTATTTCTGCATTTCCCCATTTGGAGAGGTCTTAACCGCCACGGATAATACCTAGCCTTATACCGACTGGGAGGAATGCTGCCTAATAGGGTGATTTCTTGGTGTTGCGATAATAATAATGATATAACTATAAAAAAAAGTGATTATGTTATGCAAAGAACTGTAATAAAATATCAATCGTCCTATAAAGCAGTCAATACTGGACTATTTCCTCATAGATTAACTGACGGCAAAAGAAATGTTTCTCTACAGATTGATGCTGAGAAAAGAAAGGGAGATAAAAAATGAGGCACATATTCATAATGACTGCCGATATTATGCGATTATTTACCAGAGGAGCTTCTCCCAAGGCTATGGGAAACATTCTAGAAAAGAACTTGCCAGTGTTTGCAAAAATGGAACCAAATGAAAAGTACCTCCAAAGTAAAATGAAAATTCCATTATGAATGGTAAAGTACGTAAAAATGTTATGTATATATATATATATATATATATATATATATATATATATATATATATATATTGGCAATTTATACATCGTACCTTGTTCAAATGAAATGTCAGTGCAATGTTCATTTTGCGGAATTCAGACGACAATTTATCTATCGCACCTTGTTCAAATGAGGTCAGTGTTATTTTCACATATCAAGTTATTTAGACGGCAATTTATCCATCGCACCTTGTATATCTGTTCAAATGAGGTCAGTGTTATTTTCACATATCACGTTATTTAGACGGCAATTTATCCATCGCACCTTGTATATCTGTTCAAATGAGGTCAGTGTTATTTTCACATATCACGTTATTTAGACGGCAATTTATCCATCGCACCTTGTATATCTGTTCAAATGAGGTCAGTGTTATTTTCACATATCGCGTTATTTAGACGGCAATTTATCCATCGCACCTTGTATATCTGTTCAAATGAGGTCAGTGTTATTTTCACATAACACGTTATTTGTTCAACAATTTATCCATCGCACCTTGTATATCTGTTCAAATGAGGGTCAGTGTTATTTTCACATATCACGTTATTTAACGGCAATTTATCCATCGCATCTTGTATATCTGTTCAAATGAGGTCAGTGTTATTTTCACATATCGCGTTATTTAGACGGCAATTTATCCATCGCACCTTGTATATCTGTTCAAATGAGGTCAGTGTTATTTTCACATATCACGTTATTTAGACGGCAATTTATCCATCGCACCTTGTATATCTGTTCAAATGAGGTCAGTGTCATTTTCACATATCACGTTATTTAGACGGCAATTTATCCATCGCACCTTGTATATCTGTTCAAAAGAGGTCAGTGTCATTTTCACATATCACGTTATTTAGACGGCAATTTATCCATCGCACCTTGTATATCTGTTCAAATGAGGTCAGTGTTATTTTCACATATCACGTTATTTAACGGCAATTTATCCATCGCACCTTGTATATCTGTTCAAATGTGGTCAGTGTTATTTTCACATAACACGTTATTTGTTCAAAATTTATCCATCGCACCTTGTATATCGTTCAAATGAGGTCAGTGATATTTTCAAATATCACGTTATTTAGACAACAATTTATCCATCGCACCTTGTATATCTGTTCAAATGAGGTTCAAATTATTTTCACATATCGCGTTATTTAGACGGCAATTTATCCATCACACCTTGTATATCTGTTCAAATGAGGTCAGTGTTATTTTCACATATCACGTTATTTAGACGGCAATTTATCCATCGCACCTTGTATATCTGTTCAAATGAGGTCAGTGTTATCTTCACATATCGCGTTATTTAGACGGCAATTTATCCATCGCACCTTGTATATCTGTTCAAATGAGGTCAAATGTTATTTTTTCATATCGCGTTATTTAGACGGCAATTTATCCATCGCACCTTGTATATCTGTTCAAATGAGGTCAGTGTGATTTTCACATATCACGTTATTTAGACGGCAATTTATCCATCGCACCTTGTATATCTGTTCAAATGAGGTCAAATGATTTTCACATATCGCGTTATTTAGACGGCAATTTATCCATCGCACCTTGTATATCTGTTCAAATGAGGTCAAATGTCATTTTCAAATATCACGTTATTTAACGGCAATTTATCCATCGCACCTTGTATATCTGTTCAAATGAGGTCAAATTATTTTTCACATATCACGTTATTTAGACGGCAATTTATCCATCGCAATATCTGTTCAAATGAGGTCAAATATGTTATTTTCAATATCACGTTATTTAGACGGCAATTTATCCATCGCACCTTGTATATCTGTTCAAATGAGGTCAGTGTTATTTTCACATATCACGTTATTTAACGGCAATTTATCCATCGCACCTTGTATATCTGTTCAAATGAGGTCAGTGTTTTTTCAAATCACGTTATTTAGACGGCAATTTATCCATCGCACTGTTGTAATATCTGTTCAAATGAGGGTCAGTGTTATTTTCAAATATCACGTTATTTAGACGGCAATTTATCCATCGCACCTTGTATATCTGTTCAAATGAGGTCAAATTATTTTCACATATCACGTTATTTAACATCAATTTATCCATCGCACCTTGTATATCTGTTCAAATGTTCAGTGTTATTTTCACATATCACGTTATTTAGACAAAATTTATCCATCGCACCTTGTATATCTGTTCAAATGAGGTCAGTGTTA